AACCCATAGTAGATAGACACAAATCACAATTAAAATCGTGCCAAGTCTGAAAAGACATGAATACTTTGATCAAGTTAGAGTATAAGACAACAATTGAAATAATGTAAGACTTGAGAGACATTTGCAGCATTATAAATTATCAGAGCCTAGCTATTCTCCACTTTGTGGCACCCAAAAAAATAAGTTTGACTTAAGAAAAAGTTGATGTATGAAATTATGGCAAATTAAGAAAAAGCTGATGTATGAACTCAATTGTTCCCGACAATTACATGATAACCTAACGGTTACAAACACCGATGAAATGATTCCGTGACGAGACTGTAGCATTTCCAAAGACGAGAAAAACCAATTAAGGGTACACAATTGTTTCTAAAGTGATCACAGCCATGCAAAGCAAAAGTTTGTCCCATCACAAAACGTATAATACAAAATACATGTACACATGCACAAACATTTCAAAAGTGGGTTACATAATTTGACGCGTTTTTAGCTCAAGCTTTCTTTGTAACAACATTAATCATCATACTTTACTGGACCACACACGACTTCAAACTGATTCTCTACTTCTTAATCGACGATTGTAACTCGAAATTTCTTTGTAGAAACAACCTTCAAACTTCATTAGACCACACATATATGATCACTTCAAAGTGATTTTCTATCGATGATTGGAACTCGAGATTTCTTTGTAGCAACAAACATCATACTATACTTTACTGACTTGAGAGTGATTCTCGAGTTCTTAATCTGACGATTGGAACTTGAGATTTCTTTCGTAGCAATAACCATTCATACTCCACCGGACCACCACCCACGAAAGATGATGTAACGCCATTTTCGACTTAAAAGTAAAAGTTGACTTTCAAGTATCGAGAAAATGCATTTCATCATCATTGTATATATCAGCAATTGTGTGGTGAGTGGGAACAGAAGCAAGCACCTTTCATGGGGGGGATGGATGCACTTTGGTATTGCACTATAAAAAGCACCTTATTCTTCCCTCCTAAATCTTGAACAAAACATAGGTAATTCGAGTTCGAATAACTCTAATTCATATAACAAGAATATAAAGCTATGGATTCGAGGAAAAAAGGTTTACACGCGATTTCCCTTTTGCTGCTTCTGCTCGTCTCTCCAGGTAATCGATATGAATCTAACGAGTGAAATGTAGTGTTTACGCACTATGAGTAATGGTTCGTGTATTGGTTAATTACGACATAAAAGGCCTGATCTTAATTAGTCGATTTCTCTTCTAACAACAGGGATAATTAAGGCGTCTCATGATAGAAAAAACTCTCTCCACCTGCCTCACGAGGTAATCATATGGACTAATCTTTTGATGTTTAAAAAGTACTTTTCAAACAATGAAAAACGAAAATCAAATTAGAAGCAGAGCAAGATATATAAAATGTACTTTTTTTTTATGTTGCTTTTGGAATGATTAAATTGGTACCAATACGAAAATCTCTACAAATTGTCACATCATAGTTCTGAATTTTTAATGTTTTTGCATTAACATCATGAAGCACAAATTTTTCTTCTTTAAATTGTTTGCAGGGAGTTCGAATAAATTCAAGAAAGCTCTTGGAAGTCGACACGGTTTTAGACTACGGCGAGCAGGGCGGTAATCCAAAGCACAAGGGCGGGGCAAAAGGCCCGTGATCTTATTTATATTTTCAGCCTCCTTAATGCAGACAAAAATAACTTTATAAGAGGAGTCTGCGCATGGCTCGAGCACGATAGAATTGGGGTTTCTTATCCCCGACGAGTCCTAGCCTAACGTTGTTGCCATTCTTCTTTGTATCAAAAAAAAAAAAAAAAAAAAATATGAGGGCAATATGTGCTTTGTATCAATAATAATACCACATTTATAAATAATAATAGTTTCTGACTTCTGCACTGCTTGCTTGATCATCCATAATGATTAATAAAATTAACTATTATCTGTGCAGTAAAGAATTTTATATGAGCATTATAATTGTACATCTTGTATAATTTGTGATATGATTGAGTAAAATTACAAAAAGCCAGGTGATATTTGGTAATATTTCAAATTCTAGCTCATTAGTTTCATGCTCTTATAAATAATTATTTTTTGATCTATGGTAAAAATAAGCAAATTTATACATACACATTGGAAGTTGCAGAAAGGAAGGAGACAGAACAAAAAGGATATTTCAATGTAAGCTTCACTATCTAAGGATAGCTCGAAAGGGGAACCAAGCACCTTTCTCATAAGTAGAAAAAAAAATTGAATCTTTATAACATAACTGCATTGCACCAAGAAAAATGAAAACAGGTATCTTACATTACAAATACAATAAGCTTCACAAGCAGCCTTTCGAAACCCCTTCTGACCTCAATCGGTATCCAAAAAAAAAAAA